GGTCTTGGCCTTCTTCCTGTCTTCCTGGGCCGCTTGCTGCTGTTGTCCGACTGGCGCTTCGGCGCGTTCGGCAACGGGAACGGCCTCGGTAAGAACAGCGACCCTTGCACCGCTGCCTCCGCGTTGCCCTTGAGGTGTGGCCGAACTCCGTAGTCTCCCCGTGGTTGATCTGGTCCGCGAAGATTTGGCAACACGCCACGTAGTCGAACATCCTGGCTGGGTTCCTCGTGCATGTGTACGCCACGTCCTCTGGAGTGCGTGCTGCCGCCTGCAGGATCTCGAGCCATCCTGATGCCTTCGTCTGGCTCGGCTCCACGTTCCAGTCGCCAATCGCCACGTTCCCGCTATGGCCCCGCACCAAGGAAGCTACCAATCGCATCTTCTGCTGGTTCTCGCCTCGCAAACCCTTGGGCGATGTTAGGTACACGCCGATGATCATGGCCGTCTGCCCTCTCAGCCGCCTGTTGAGCACCGCGAGGTCCTTGAAGTCGATGGGTCCAGCCTTTCATTTCTCGTCGATCTGCCTCAGGCCCACCGGCTGGGTGGCCGTCGCTGCCATGGGCCGCGTAATGTGCCCTAGCCGCCATCATGATGCTACCCGCAAGCTTGCTGCAATTGTCCTTCTCCGCTGGCGTCGCTATCGCCTTCCATCTTTTGCCGCCCATGTAATCCGACACCTCGTTTCTGCCTGAGGCCCCGACGTGGGCCTCGGGAAGCACGGTGATGCCGTCCACTAGGTTGCTGATCTTCCTCGGCAGCCTGGGCCCCCAGGTCGAGAGGTTCTGCATGGAAGATGGTGTTGTTAACCTTTTGACTTCTGACCTTGCTGCGCGCCAGCCCCTGCGCCACGCGCTCTCGCTTCCTTGACCGTCTCTGCCATGGCGGCCTTTTCCTTGGCTGCCTTGTCCTCCGCCGCGGTTGCTGCCGCCGCTGATGCCGCCGAAACTCACCCGCCAGCCGCCGATGCCGCCCCCGCTCCGTCTCCTCGAGGAATTGGTGCGTCTCCTCCGTGGCTGCCGCGGTCCGACTTCTCCTCCTCCAGTCGCGGCTTCAACTTCGGCTTCGACCTCCCGCTTCTTCTGCCTGCGCAGCTTGTCCACCCAGCCCTGCTCGGCCTGCTTCTGCGCCTTGAGCTTCTCGGCCGCCGCCGCGAAAGCCTGCAGGGCCGCTGCCTTTGCTTCCTTGACGAACTCAGCATTCCTCCGCTCCAGCTCCTGGATGTCTGCCGGGCTGACGTTCTCGATGTCCTCGAGGTTGAAGAGCTCGCCCATGTCCACCTCCAGCTCCGCATCGCCGAGCAGGGCCCCGATTGGCAGTGGAGGTCGCTCGTGTTCACGCTCTGGCTGCCGAGAAAGGAGTGCATGCTGCTGTCGATCTGCCTTGACTCGATCTTCTGCGTCTGCAACTTCTTTGGACCGATCCAGGTCGTCCTTCCGGCTTGGTCTAGTTCTGCACGTAAGCGCTCCCGACGACGGTATGCTTTCTGCTGAGCTCCTTGCGCGCGCTGGACTACGTTCCTAGCCTATCGAAGTGAGGCCTGCGATCCTGGCACTGGCTGCTGTTGACCTCCACCTCCGCCAGGCTTGGGCGCCACGCTGTTGAGGAGCTCCTCAACCTTCTTCCTGCCGTCGCCTTGTGCTTGCTTCGTGGTCGTCGTGAGCGACTGGACCATGGCGAACTGCTGCCGGTCCCCGCGTCCGATGTCGGCTTTAGTGAGGCTTGGCCAGTCGCTTGCTGGAACAGGCGGCTCCGCCCCCCACTCGATGCCTCCGCATAAGCGCTTAAACCCGCGCCCTGCGAGCCTGTTGCTCCAAAATGACATGTCTCACTTGGAGCACTGACAGTCTGCCTTGACACTGCTCTGGTTAATGCTGCCGCCACTGCGTCCGCTCTTCCAGCTTGGCGAACGTGAATGTCTCGGGCTGTCGAGGTGCCGCGGTGAGTACTGGACCTACGGCTGCCTCCGCCATCCGCTGCGCCCATCGCCACCACCACAAGGAGGAGGAGGAGGAGGAGATACCGCGGCACTGGTATGAGTTGTGAGAAATTCACCGGAAGTTTGGAATGCTTAGTATGCTTGGCCCTCGGCGTCAGAGCGTTCCTACTGCTCTGTGCACCCAGGGGACTCGCTGTCTCTAGAAAACTCATAGGCCTTGAGGCAACATGGCTACCGACGATTCTGCTGATTATGATAATGATGATGCTGATGATGATGACGATGCTGACGACGATGATGATGGTGATGCTGATGGTGCTGATGATGTCGATGATGATGACCATGCAACTGATGATGCTGATGATGCAGATGATGCTGCTGCTGCTGATGATGATGCTGTTGCTGTTGTAAATGATGAGGGCGATGATGACGGCGATGACGCTTGTGATGATACTGATAAGAGTAACGAGGATAATGATAGTAATAGTGATGATAGTGATGAGGATGATGCTGCTGATGATGGTGGTGATGGTGATGACGATGATGCTGATGATGACGATAGTGATGACGACGACGCTGATGAGGATGACGATTATGATGACGATGACGATGATGACGATGATACTGATGATGACTGTGGTGATGATGATGATTCTGTTGATGCTGCTGATGATAATGGTGACGATGACGACGATGATGCGGATGATGATGTCGACGATGATAATGATGATGCTGATGATGATGATGATGATCATGATGCTGCTGATGCTGATGATGATACTTGTGATGATGATGATGATGATGGTGATGCTGCTGATGATGCTGATGATAATCATGATGACGAACGTGATGATTACGATTATGACGATGAATATGACGATGATGTCGATGATGGTTTTGGCGATGGTCGGGATGGTTATTCTGGTGTATATGTGAGAAAGGATGCAGGGGCGATGCCATTCGGATCGTAGAACGAACATGGGTAGGGGGTGGGAGGTGATATATATATATATATATATATATACATACATACACACGGATGTTTATAGAAAGTGCGAGAAAGAGAGAGAGAGAGAGAGAGAGAGGGAGAGAGATAAAGAGAGGGAGAAAGAGAGAGAGAGAGAGAGAGAGAAACAACGAGTGAGAGAGAGAGAGAGAGAGAGCGAGAGAGAGAGAGAGAGAAAGACAGGGGAATAAGGGGTGGTGATCCTGGCTGAAAACAAAAGTTGCGCGAGGCAGCTCTGAGCGCCCTCCCCGTCTTCGCCCGCGCGGAGGCGCGGGGGCTGCTGCTCCAGGAGCGAGCAGCTTGCCGTGCCCCGGGACCTCTTACCCCTACCCCAGCACGGAGTGGCAACTTCCAGGTGAAATAGCAGTTGGCGCTGAGGCTACACAGCTTCGCTGGTGGGGCTCTTCGGTAATTCTTAGCCGCCCATGGCAGCAGTGCGGAGCGATCCTACTATCAAGATGCGGCGGCAGCGCGCAAGGCCTGGACCCCGAGGGGCGCCGACGAGCGCTGCCAACACGGACAGGCAGTCCAGGCATGGCCGTCCGCGAGCGCCGAGGGGACCCTGAAGGCGAAGCTTCGGAGCAGCTTGTCGCTAACAAGCGATGCGTCGTGATCGATCTACTCGTCCCCGCCGTCCTTGACCAACAAGGGCAGCGCGATTTCGGTGAGCGCGGAGCGCACGAGCTTCGTGACATCAACTGACACGGGCTGGGTGGGCACTACGGCCTGCTCCATGTCGTCGGGCAAGCAGTCCACGCCAGCTTGAGCGGGGCCTGCCTGCAGGCTGCGCGCCGTCAGCCCATTCATCAGTAGGGCTGGGCCCTTCGCGGCCCAGCATGCATCGCCGATCTTCTTTGGCGTGCTGCCCAACGGTCAGCTCAGCCCGCACGCCGCGCCGACAGGCGGCGCTGGCGGCGGTGGAAGCGGCGCCTCGCGAGCTTCCGCCGCTGAGATGATGGCGCGGCGGCGTCTCCTCTTCCGTTCTTCTCTCGAAGGAGGAAAGTGGCACAGGTATCCACTTTTGCAGTGCCGCGCGGATTTCTTCGATCGGTGCTGGGGCCTCCCTGGCGGCGCCTCTGGCGCCACCCCTGGCGCGCTCCGCGCTTCAGGGAGCGGGGTGTGGGCCAGCAGCCATCCAACATATCCGCGCTGTCCATGCATTTTTCGCTTCCCCCATCCTCGTGCTCCTGCGCGGCGCCGTCACCACCAGTCGGCGCGCTGGGCCGCGTCGAGGCGACGAACGCTACCGCCAGCACGGCCGAACGCGTCAAGAGGCAGGCGCCGCGTCCACGGACCGCGGCAGCCACACCGCGCCGTCCGCGGACGGCTGACCGAGCGCCCAGCATGCAGTCGCTTGCGCCAGACAAGGGCGCGAGGCGCGCGTTCCGCGGACGGCTGACCGAGCGCCCAGCATGCAGTCGCTTGCGTCAGACAGGGGTGAGGAGGAGGAGGCGGAGGAGGAGGAGGAGGAGGAGGAGGAGGAGGAGGAGGAGGAGGGGGGGAGGGGGAGAAGAGGAGATCCGTCGCCATTTTGGCTCAAGTCCGTAGCGTGTGGCTCGGGCTTTGAGTTTTTTGTGGCTTGGGGGTTTGCGGCCCCATCTTTCTTTCGAACTTCACACGCTTCGTGTAACGTACATTCACTCTTCCTTTCCTTGTCATGAAAGACAATGGACGCGGCGCTGGAGGGTTCGTTCGTGCGCCGTGGGCGCAGACGTGGGCGTGTCTTGTCAAGCGTTGCAAGTTTGCGAACAACTTCCCGTGGCGGAAGACATGCTACTGCTGTGGTGCCGATCGCCCCCCAGCCCCCAGTGAAACCGCTGTGCCGCCACCCCGTGGCGCCTGGGCGCAGGCCCCCCCGAAGCAGCGGGGAGGCAGTGGCGGCAAGGGCGGCGGCGGCGGCGGCAGCGGCTCCACCAGCACCACAGATGTGTTCGCTGACAGCCAGCTCGATGCATTCGTCGCAATGGATGATGCTAAGTTTGCAGTTTGTCTTGTCTCATTCCTGCTGCTGTTCGGTCCAATGTTGTTTCTCGGCGTGCTGTGCGCAACGGTGACCCCATGGCGGTTTCGAAGGAGGCCAATATTGAGCACGACTCCCTCAAGGCGAAGGTGCAGAAGGCCGAGTCCGCGCTCGAGCGGGCAAGGCCGATTGCATACGTTGCAGGCCGAGTACGAAGCCCTGCGCGCCCAGGAGCGCGACGCCGCCAAGCGTGCTGCCTCGGCCTTTTCGGCGTTGTCGGGTCAGCAGCCTGCAGGTCCCACTGCAGGCGATCCCGCGGCGGCGCTCCGCGGCCAGTTCGCCTACCTGGGCATCAACGCTGGTGTCCTCGACGACGTTGACAAGCTCATCGCGCAGCGCGACGCGGTCCTGCAGCAAAGGGCCCAGCGTGACGCAGCTGAAACAGAGGCAGCTGAGGCGGCTCGTCGGCCTGATGACGGTGCTGGTGCTCATGCTGATGCGCAGGGTGATGGCGCCTCGGGTGTGTGTGCTGCGGGCCAGCCCGACGTCGCCATGGAGCCCATCCGGTTCGAGGACCTCGACGGCCAGTGGATCGACGACCTTGTGGCCAAGGCCGCTCAGCCTGAGCATGTCTGCGACGGGGGCCAGCCTGTGCGTGCCCTCGCGCGTAAGGTTGTGGAGGCAGCACTGCAGGATGCCCTGTCCAGGGCCAAGAAGCCCAATGTGCAGGAGGTTTAGCATCCGCCGTGAGCCTGCTGTGCCCCGCGCTGGGTCCTTTGTCATGTGCAATGCTACAGACAGAGCGGTCTGGGCTTGACATGTTCCTCTCCTCCCCTCTTGCCAGTGCTGGTGTGCTGGCCGTTCAGGAGACGCATGTCGCCGACTCTGATGTTCTCGAGGCGCAGCTTCGAGCACAGGGTCGACGTGCCCGACGTTTCCCAGCAGTGCCCACAGGACGAGGGGGCTCGTCTGGAGGTCTGGTCATTTCCACACCCAGGCATATGGGCCTTTCCCAGGCCCATGGGGCTTCGGACGTCTTGGAGCCAAGCCGCGTTTGGATTCTGCACTTCGGAGGCATCCTTCCTGGAGGAGTTTTGGTTGCCAGCATTTGTCTGCATCGCGGTGTCGGTCTGGCGGCCCAGAATTGGGCCATCCTCTGTCGCCTTGGAGGTGTCTTGAGGTCTACGGGGGCACCCTATGTCCTTGCGGGGGATTTTAACTTGGAACCAGAGGTGCTTGATTATAGTGGTTGGGTCTCTGCTATCGATGGGGTTACTATTTCTACTGAAGCTGGGACGTGTCGACCAGCTGATCGAGTGATTGATTTCTTCGTGGTCAGTCGTGAGCTGGCCCCCTTCGCCGCGGCGCTCGTGGACTACGCCGCCCCCGCCACGCCGCATTGCCGCGTCAAGTTGACCCTGCAGACCCCCCGCAAGGCTGTGTAAGTTGGAATGGCCAAGGCCCCCAAGAGGTTTGCCGTCGTCGTGCCTGCTGGACCCCGACAGCCGCCTGATCAGCTTCGATGGGGGCCCAGTCGCACCGCCGTCGAGTCCGGGAACATCGCCGAGTCTTGGGGCGAGTTCGTTTCTGCGGCCGAGTTGGAGCGGCTTGAGGTTTAACAGGTCGACCCCGGCCTTGCCTTTGGTTGTAGTGGGCGCCGAGGGCTTGTTCAGTTTCGCTGGGTTTCCCCTGGGCGCCCTGGGCCGCCCGCTTTTCCACGCGTCAGTGAAGCAGCCATCTGGCGGCGAGATGTCTCGCACATGTCTCAGGCCGTGGCACAACCAGTGGGAGTCAACAGGTCTAGGCAGCTAGTTCGTGCAGCGAGGAAGTTGCAGGCGTCGTCGCACATCCAGTCTAGCTACATGGAGTACTTCTGTGTGATGCTAGACCACCTCGTGCACCCTGACATGTGCTACTCTCTCGCGACCGAGCTGGCCGACGCGGCCAGCGTGCAAGCCCTGTCTGTTATGCGAGCAGCCGCAACGCAAAAAAAAAAACGGTTGGGGGCAGTGGGCCAAAAAGCACTCTGTCAATGGTTCGGCTGCTCTGTTTAAGTGCATCAAGCTCCCTGATGCCTGGCAGTCTGCTTCGCTGGTTCAGCATGCGCCTGCCAACTCCATGCAGGAGGTCGATATTCTGCAGGCCGAGCGGGCGAAATGGCGGCGAGTTGGGGAAACGCGTCCTCCTCTCCTGGCCCCCGGACCTCGGGGAACGGCCGCTTCCCCCCTCTCTGGGCCACATCAAGAAAGTGCTCCTGACGTTCCCCGGGGGGGCAGGAAGCGGGTTCGACCAACTGCCGCCCAGACAACTTTTAAGACTTCCCGATGAAGCCCCTCTGATCCTGTGCCAGCTTATTTCCATGATCTAGCACCGGCTCGAGTGGCCGCCGATGACCGCGAGGATCGCGCTCATCCTTAAGAGGCTCGGCGGCGTCAGGCCATTCGGATTGATGCATTGCCTGTGCAGGGTGCAAGCGCGTTTACGCCGAGGACTGTTGCAGGCGTAAGTCGGCTGAGTTATCGGTTTGGCTTCAAGCAGCTTGGATTGAATATCGCACTGACATGGGCTCTTGTTCGGCTACGCTGCCCTTGGATCTTAAGAAGGCTTTCGAACTCGTCCGTCATGGGCACCTTGTACGAGCAGCTCAGAAAACACACTTCCCCTCTGGCGGCTGCAGCTGTTTGCGCAGGCGCATCGTGCTCCCAGAGTCTTGGAGTTGCAAGGCCTGTACAGTGAGCAGCTGCAGGTCGACCGGACCATTTTGCCTGGCTGCCTGTTTGCGACGTGCCTCTTGCAGCTGATGCCCATTGGGCCCCCTCGGCGAGGTGCGAACGGAGCCCCCATCAGTACCTGTAGCAGTCTGCGTCGACGACCTTAGTCTGCGGAGGGTGGAGGATGCAAGCGGGTTGCAGATGAGTTAGCGGCAGTGGGAATCATGTTGAAGGATGAGCTAGCGAAGGTCGACATGGTCATTGCACTGGGCAAGTCCCGTGCTCTTGCTAATTCAGATTCTCTGCAGGCAGCCCTGCGGCGACGATTGGTCAGTGTCAAGGTGCTCGCAGTGCACTCGGAGCGCAATCTAGGAGTTGATTTTTCGGCAGCCCGAGCGACCCGACGACGCACTCGTGCTGCGCGTATTCCTTCTGCCAAGTCAAAGCTGAAACGGCTTCGACACCTTCAAGGAGCCAGTGCACGTAAGAAGGCATTGCAGCGCATGGCGCGCGCAGCGATCGAGACCACCGTTACGTTTGGCACGTGCGTCCAGGGCACGAGTGCTGCAGAGCTTGACGCGCTGCGCACGCTCGCTGCTGCTGCTATGGACTCGCGGTCTTCGGGGATATCTCGTGCGATGGCGCTGCTGTTGGCGCCCTCTCCCAGGGTGGACCCGATTCGTCGAGCCACCCTGGAGCCCGCCAGTGCCTTCATGCATGTGCTCTGGAGGGGCCTCGTGCCGCTGCGGACGCTGGAGAAGGGGATTGCTGCTGCCGCTGCTAGGCTGGGGCCCCGCAGCTCACCGTGGCCGGCCATCAAGGAGCCCTTCTCGGCCCTGTGGGCCTCGCTCAACCGCGTGGGCATTGATTGCAGCAACCTGCGGGCTTGGGTTTTTTTTCCGAACGACCAGGTTATCAACCCTTTGGAGCTGTGTCCCAGGTCTATCGGGTTCCTCGTCGGGCGTGCTGTCGCGTCGTGGCAGATGAAAAAAGTCTCTGGGCACTTCGAGGCGCCCGGGTTCCTGGGAGGGATTTGGATTGAGCCCCTGCGTGCCCTTTGTTCTTTGCGTATTCTGTCTGCTCCTGAGGGTGCCTATTTGAGGTCGGAGGCGATCGGAGGCCAGCGGGCGCAAGCTAGAAAGCGCGCTCAGGGTTGGGCCCCTTCGCCGGAGTGTCCCGTCTGTCGGGGCGGGGACGGCGCTCTGGTTCACAGGCGTGCCAGGTGCTCGCGCATCCCTGAGCCTGTTGCACCTGCCCCCGAGCGCGTGCAGATCCTGTCGCAGCGCGCCGTGCACAATATATTGGTTGAGATACTCATCGAGCGGGTGATCCTCGGCAAGCCTCGCGTGCCGTCTGACCTTTTGCAGTGGGCTGAACAGCCGTATCTTCGGTGGGGAGGTGCCCCTCAGAACCTCGCAGGTGATGTCTTTATGGGCGGCTCGCTCTATGAGGATCTACCCGCCTACCCTGTTGCTGGTTTTGCGTGTGTTTCCCGTCGCCCTGAGGGCGACGCAGTCTCCGCTATTTTGACAGGGGTTCTGCCAGGGCCGCATCAGGACACTAACGGTGCTGAGCTCTACGCCTTGTATTCCGTGCTGATGCGCGCCGTGCTGCCTGTCATGGTCTACTCGGACTCTTCTTTTGTCGTCAAAGGAATCAACCTGTGGGGCCGTGATCACGCTACCGCTCCTGGTTTCTCTTGGGCGCACCTCGGGAGATGCTCGAGGACTGGGGCGGGGGCATCCAGGTCTTGAAGGTCAAGTCCCACGTGTCTCAGAGGCAGGTTCTTGAAGGTTTCCAGACGTACCGCCTCACCTTTGGCAGCGCGCGCGCTGACGAAGAGGCCGAGGCACGGGCCTGCGATAGACGACCACCCCTCGCGCTCCAGAAGCTCGCTGCTCATCATCAGAAGCTCGTGCGAGGACATGGAGCGTGGGTGGCACAACTTGGGGCCGTGCTAGCTGAGACTGACTGCCTGCATCGTGTGAAGAGGCCGCGCAGTGATGCCCCTCCCTCAATCCAGCTTGCCAAGTCCCAGCCGCCCTCCCTGCCAGAGCGTGTCGCCCCGTCCCAGGTTTCTCTCCTGGCCAGGGGACTTAAGGCGCACCGGCTTTTTGTTTTTTCGGTCTCGACCCTGCCGTGTAAAACTGTGGTCGTTTGTTGTGGGAGGTGCGGGGCTTTTGCTTCCCGTAGGGTGGTCACCCTTATGGAACCCTGCCCCCCCGACCATCCCAAAATGGGCCAAGACTATCTCGAGTCGTCTGGAGCGTGGTCAGTTCAAGCTAGACAGAGTCCTTCATCACGTTTCAGACTTTCGGCGGCTGCTGCCGCCAACGGAGGGCGCTGGCTCGAGCAGCGCGTTTGGCGCTGTCGTGCCGCCTCCGAGCTCACTCGAGAATCGTGTCCCCTCGGGCTGACATCGTCGCGCGGGGGTTGTGCGTCGTTCGATGCTGAGTTCTGCTCGTATCGCTCGACTGTCGTGCCTCGGCCCTTTCCGAGGCTCGTCCGATGCATGTAGCTGAAGGCGGTTGCAAGGTGCGCCGTCGGCTTCGTAGTTATATCGAGGAGGTGATAGACGTTGTCGTCGCCTCTGGACTGTGCCACAGGGGGAGAACAGGAGGAGGAGGAGGAGGAGGAGGAGGAGGAGGGGGAGGAGGGGGGGAGGAGGAGGAGGAGGAGGAGGGGAAAAAAAAACAGGGGGATAGATGAGGAGGGGGGGGGCGGAGGCTTGGAAGGGTGGGTGGGGGCGAACATGGGGGCAGGGGGACAATAATATGAGGACCATGTGAACAAAGATGCTGATGTCAGTGATGGTCAGGATGAGAGGAGGGGGAGGATGATAAGGAAATGAGGAGGAAGAAGCAGGCAGGGGAGGGATGAGGAGAGCCGTGGGTGCTGGAGCAGTGGGGGAGTGGGTGGGGTCGAACTTGGGGGGAGGGGGGCAAGAATATTAG